CCCCCAGCCACCAGCCCCCAGTCCCCACACCCCGCCCCCCAGCCCCCCGCCCCCGCCCCCCACCCCCCCAGCCCCCAGCCCCTCAGTCCCCCCAGTCCCCACCCCCCAGTCCCCAACCCCCAGTCCCCAGCCCCACCCCCAGCCCCCAGCCCCCAGCCCCCAGCCCCCCAGCCCCCATCCCCAGCCCCCATCCCCCAGCCCCCACCCCCCAGTCCCCGCCCCCCCGCCCCCGCCCCCCAGCCCCCCGCCCCCAGCCCCCCAGCCCCCACCTCCAGCCCCCCACCCCCCAGCCCCCAGCCCCCACCTCCCAGCCCCCCAGTCCCCATCCCCCAGCCCCCACCCCCCAGCCCCCAGCCCCCCAGATCCCCCGCCTGTCTCAACGTTTAGCCCTAAAATTTCACATGGAACTGAAATGTGGAAAATCTTTAATTAACTATATTTTCTAACCCCATTCCCTGCTCTCTCTCCCTCTCTCCCCCCGTTGTCTGTCTCTCTAACCGTGTGGCTCTCTCACTCTCTTTCTGTCGCTGTTTCTCTAACTCTCTTTGTCCCCGTCTGTCTTTTCCCTTTTCTGTCCCTCGTTCTCCTCCCTCTCTGTCCCCACCTGTGCCCCTCTCTGCCTCTGCCCGGGACAGGCACACGGTGGCAGTGAGGGGCTGTGAGGGGCTGTGATGTGATGTGGTGGAGCTGTGGCCTGAGGTGTGTGTGTGTGATTGTATAATTCCAGGCGCTGATCACAGCACCAAATACCAACCGGTCACCACCAGCTACGACTACGATGCTCCTCTCTCTGAGGCTGGAGACGTCACAGCCAAACTTTACTCCATCAGAGAAGTCATCAGAAAGGTCTGTCCCACAGTGTGAGTGACTGTGTCTCTAACCCTGACCTGGGAGTGTGGACACACAGTGTAGAGGGAGCATTACCGTGTCTCTAACCCTGACCTGGGAGTGTGGACACACAGTGTAGAGGGAGCATTACCGTGTCTCTAACCCTCCGGCTGGCCTTGCTGTATCTAGTAGACTCGAGTCTCATTGAGTGGAACAGGCTGCGTGTGCTGAATGGCCTCCTCCTGATCCTGGAACCACCTGTCTGTTCTCCTTGTTTTCCAGTTCAGGGAGATTCCCATAGGCCCGATGCCCCCGGATATTCCCAAGTATGCGTACGGAATTGTGTCGTTGACAAAGGTAAATCGTTGCCTCAGCTCCCGGCTGTTTGCGGAACATCGCTGCGCATCTGGCTACAAAATACACAGTCACTACACATTGAGGGAGGGAGAGGGGTGATGAGGGGTATATGGTGATGCTGATCTGAAGTGACGTCTCCTCCCCCTGGCAGTTGGGGCAGCTGTTGGACATGTTGGACGTCTTCACTCGCGCTGGACCTGTTGAAAGTATTTACCCTTTGACGTTCGAGGAGATGAACCAGGTACAAGTCATGTCCCCCCCACTCCCCCCACCCCGGCTCTCTACCCTGCACCCCCCCCCCACCACCACCCACACACACCCCAGCTCTCCCCCCCGCCCCCCTCCCGCACACACACCCCAGCTATCCCCCCCGGCCCCCCTCCCGCGCACACACCCAAACTCTCTTCCCTCCCACGCACACACCCCCCGGATCTCCCACCCGCCGCCTCCACACCCCCCGGATCTCCCCCCGCCGCCTCCACCCCCCCAGCTCTCTCCCCCTCTCCCCTCCCTCCGCGGCCTGGCTCCACTCAAACTGGGAATCAGAGTCCAACTGGATATTGAATCGAGCCCAGGTCACTCTTCCCCTCCTCCTCGCCTGTCTCTCGTATCCCCCCCCCACCCCCCACTCTCTCTCTTACAGTATTTTGGGTTTATGCTTTACCGGACGCGGCTGAAGAAGAGTTTCCCGCAGCCCACACCCCTGATCTCACCACTGAACGGAGTGAATGACCGAGCTTACGTCTTCGTTAACGGGGTGAGACTTTGTTTTTGTTGTTTTGTCTACTTTTCCTTTCCCCAACCCTTCCCTCTGCTCTCCTGGCTCTCACACTGACCCCGTTCCCAGCTCTCCCTCTCACCCCCCCCCCCCCCCCCATGGTGTCTGTGCTGGGGCTCGCTCCCCCACTGGCGCTCTCTACTCTCACCCCATTCTCTGCTCTCTCTCTCTCCCATGGTGTCTGTCCCCGCTATGAGTGTGTGTGTGTGTGAGTGTGTGTGTGTTCTGAAATGCCCTTCTCCGCACCGTGCTGTATAAATGCAAGTTGTTGTTACACTTGACACCAATTTCCTGTAAATGCTCAGAGGTATTTGTCTGTTCTGGATTCTCTGAATTGAATTTGAGGATTAATATAATGAATAATATTGTAACAGCGCCTTATCACCTCTTTGAGAGGTCTCAAAGCGCTTCACTGGATACACGGTAAAGTGTAGTGACTGTGTAGCTTGTGTGTGGATGGCTTATTGTTCGCGTTGTTGTGGGTTGACTGCCTGGGCTGCTGACTGTTGTTTGCCTGTGCTGGCACGGCGGGTGTCGGTGCTGACCTTGCTCTGGGCTGAGCCGGCGTGTGGTGTGGTGTGGTGTTGGCAGATTTACCAGGGCTTCCTGCAGCGAGACGACATCCTGGCCATCAACATCACCGGTCGGGCCCACGACCGGCTGGACATCGTGGTGGAGAACATGGGGCGGGTCAACTTCGGGACTGATGTCAACGACTTCAAGGTAAGGGAAGGGGCTGCCCAGAGGGGGTTCAGCTCACAGCAATTCTGCTTACGGTCACCTCCCCCTTCCCCTCCCTCTCCCCCCCCCCCCCGCGGCTCGGGGGTCAGACCCCACTGTCAAGCGCCCCGGGACTCTACCCCGCGTGAAGGGGGCAGGTTGTTATTGTTGTTGTTGTGTTAACACACGCGGTTGCTCTGATACCGACAGGGGCTGATCTCGAACCTCTCGCTGGGGTCCGACGTGCTGGTTGACTGGCAGATCTTCTCTCTGGACATTGACGGGGCGGTGGAGGCCGGAGCCGAGCAGCTACGAGCTGACCGGGCGGCTCCGTGGTCAGCCGGGCCCTCAGGCCAGGGTCCCGCCTTCTACACGGGCTCCTTCGTGTCTCTCCAGGCGCAGGACACCTTCGTCAGGCTGGAGGGATGGACCAAGGTGGGGGGATGGCTTTGTACACTCTTGTTTTTTGGGTGTTTATTACCGAGCCGGGTTTCCAAACCCAACTGGGATTTCCAGGCCTCCCATCTACACGCAGAAATCCCAGAGATAGGTTGTTGGAATGGAATACGCTCTCTCTCTCTCTCCTTGGAGAGACGCAGCCTGCTTACCCAACCCGATTATTAATGTGTATTAAACAGTTATTGTTATTCTATAACTGGACCGAGTTAGGGTAATAAGGCGCTTTGAGACGTCTTAACGACGTGCTAAGGCTCTATGTCAAATGCAAGTATTATCATTATTAAGGTTTCAACCCACCCTGGAATCGAACCGGGGTCCCCTCGCTTGTGAGATGAGCAAACTAACTAATACACTGCCAGATTCCAGTCAATCTGATTATAATAATAATAATCCTCACATCTGATACAGCGCCTTATGTTGTTGGAACGTCCCAAAGCGCTTCACCGGATACACTGTAAAGTGTAGTGACTGTGTATTTTGCTGTAACGTTGTTCCAATCCAACCCACTCCGTCTCGTTGCTTCCCGCAGGGTCAGATCTGGATCAACGGCTTCAACCTGGGCCGGTACTGGCCGGTGAGAGGCCCGCAGCAGACCCTGTACGTACCGGCCAACGTGTTGTCCACCTCCGCCCCCAACCTCATTGTGCTGCTCGAGCTGGAGAGGCCGGCCTCCAGCCTGGACCTCAAGTTCCTGGACCGTCCCGTCCTGAAGATGCCCTGAATCCCCGCCAGCCCTGCCTGGGAGCCTGAACCCAGGGGAGTGTCAACCCCATCACAGTGGGCGCTTGGCGTTGGAGTTGCTTGGTTGCTGGGGGGAAGACAGCTTCACGCGGTGAGTGGGGGAGGGATTGCTCACCAGAACAGGGGCAGGAGAGAGCGAGGCGAGGGAGTGAGCAAACTACAACCTCGCTGGGTTCAGGTGGGGGCTGATGGAGCTCAGGCGGCGGGGGCTGGTTGGGGGGGGGGGTTTGGTCCTGTCGAGCCCGTCTCTGCCGTTTGCTGTGACTCCCCAGTGCTCGCTCCCCTTCCCTCGTGTCAGAGACTGAGGAGGAACATTGATTTTTATGACTGTGTAAATAAAATCATTGCTAAAGCTGTTCTTGCCATCCAACGCTCTGCCCTGACGTTTGTCTTTGAAGGTACTGAGCTTCCCCCACCCTCCCCAACCCCCCCAACCAATCTCCCCCCCAACCCCGTGAGCGAGGGCAACTTAACCACATCACCCGTCCCCTGGCTGAGATGTTAAACCCGAGGTTCAGTCTGTCTGTTGAGGGGGACGTTGCTGTGTTTCTTCGTGTGTCCTGCACCTCCCTCCCACCCAACAGAACATATGGATGCATTTGTGGTTCCCAGCTGTTTGTGTGAATGTCTGGCCACAATGTTCTCCTACACACAAAGCTGCTCAGCTCCGAGCCGAGCTTCCTGAAAGTTTCAAGAGGACGTGACCTGATTAACAGCCAAGTTTCACAATTGGCCTCAGTCAACTGCTGTGTGTGTGTGCCGTTCGCTGCCACGTTTCACCCACAAATGTACAGTCACTGCACTTTGAGACGTCTCAACTTCGTGACAAGGCGCTGTATCAAAGGCAGGGATCATTACAGAAAAAGTCACAGGATGGCATTTGAAAAAACCGTGAACAAGTGCGTGGCGGTGTGTGTGTGAGTGTGTGTGTGTGCATGAGATGGGGGTTGTTGGTTGGAAGGTAAAATTAGTTAGTGGAATTAACTAGTCTGTACAGCCTGGGCCAGAGGTTTGGCCAGAAAAACAGCTTATTCTGTTTGACTGAATTCTATATTGGATGCAGTGTATAGTTTGGGACACGAAGTGTATAGTTTGGGTCTCAAAGCGACTGCCAGGATGATAAACCAGATCGACCTCGGTCTCCTTTCACCAGCAAATCCTTATGTTCTTATGATTCCCGCGAACAGAGGAACGCAAGTCACTTGTGTTTTGTATCTCAAAGCTTGTTTACTCAACTTGGATCAGTTCAATAAACAGTCACAGTGGGCAGGTCACCACAAACTTAGCTGTTCCCCTCACGTACAGTGAATGTCACTAACCACATTATCACAGTTCATAAACAGTTGGCAAACTCTCTGGTTTATCTTTACTCTGGTCGTTGGAATGTTGATGATCTGTTGTTGGATGAACCCAACCACCCACCAAAGTTGGTCGCGGGTGTCATTCTCGGGCTCCCCTCTCTTCTCCCCCCACCACCCCCCACTCCCACCTCGAGATTCTAAGCCGTTAAAGCACAAGCAATCCCTGAACCCACTGGTTATTCTTAAACGCTGGCGTTTCCCCTTTACTCCCCCCTCCCTGCAGTGTGCCGAGGGTCTCGGCTGTGGTGAGGGGTGATGCTCTACCCCCTCCCCCCCCCCCACACTGATGTCCAGCCACGCTGTCACTCACAGCGTCAGTCAGGACCCTGTAGCTCCCCCCGGGATGTCTCAGGGACGTCTCCCCCACCACGTTCCCGTCACTGTCTCCCTGTCCTGCGATGCTCCTGCAGGCAGCGGGTGGAACAGAAGGCATAATCCAGGTACTCGAAGGGTATTCTCCCCAACAAACTGACTCCACACAGCCAGCAGCGCCTGAGGGCACAACACAACACACAGAGGCTCAGCACAGCACAGCACAGCACAGGCTGACCTGCACCAGCGCTTAACAGGATTCCTTAATTAAGGGAGTGTCAGTCACTCAAGACGTGAGAGTGTTTTGTGTTCATGTAAGCTGACGTGTGTGTGTGAGTGTTTAAGAGACTGTATGTGTGGGAGTGTGTGTAAATGTGTGTGTGTGGGGAGAGAAACAAGCAATGTTAAGATAACAGAATCCTTGTGGTAATTGTGAAACGTGTTACGCTGCTGATTGTGTGTCTTTTGCCGATGAGCCTGAGCCTCGCTCTGCCCAGCGCTGCCGTTCACACGTCAACATGAGATCCTTCCACTCAGTTACCTGCCGTGAGCCAGTGTCCCCCCACCTGCAGCCAGCTGACAGGCAAATCGTTTCTCCGCAGCCAGAGCCCTCTGCAACACAGCAAAAACATTTATATAACAACAACAATAAGGATCCGTGCATTTATTTGTACACGGCGCCTTATCACATTGTCAAGACGTCTCAAAGAGCTTCACAGGATAGGCTGTAAAGTGTAGTGACTGTGTGTTTTGAGGGCGAAATACTGTCTGTCAACTTTCCCGTCTGTCTCGCTCGCTCGCTCGCTCCCTGAGGTCGAGAGGAGGTCTGAGAGAAATGCTCACAGTTACAAGGAGTTTAGCAACTTAATAATAATAATAGAAACAGGAGAAGGCCATTCAGCCCCTCGAGCCTGTTCCACCATTTTATAGGATCATGGCTTATCTGCTAATATAATATATAATGGCTCCCACCTTTTCTCGGTCGCTCAGTGCTGCGTATCTCTTCATCTCGTCCTCCTCTCCCTCCTTCCTCTTCCTCTCCTCCCTCTGCTCTTTCTCCTTCTGTTTCTTCACCGCCTTCTGCGCTCGCTTCTTCTCCGCTTTCTTGGACTGGATTTCTGCGGTGAGCGGCCCGGGTACCTGGGGACAGAGAGGCAGTGACACTGGGTTCACTTTCCACCATCAACACAATCATTCACAAGGGACTTGGACAAGAGACTGAGTCAACGAAACACCAAGAGATATAATAATCCTTGCACTCGATGCCATAATAACAATCCTTGATTTTGATGCAGCGCCTTACCACGTCGTTCAGACGTCTCAAAGCGCTTCACTGATTATACTGTAAAGTGTAGCGACTGTGTATTTTATGAGTGAAACGCGGCAGCCAGTTGCACACAGCAGTGTCCTACAAACAGCCGTGGAGTGAGTGACCGATTTTATTTGGGAGATTGTTGGCCAGGACACCGGGATAGAGAGAGAAACTCCCTTCTCTTCAAATAGCGCTGCGGGATCTTTAACGTCCGTCTGAACAGGGCACAGACGGGGAGAGGGTGAGGTCCGAAGGATGTAGTCATGCAGGGACATGCAAAATAAATATGTCCATGGTTGCTCCTCACACCACAGATCGGTAGCCATTGTTTACCTGGGCTCTGGTGTAGTCATATTTCTCGGGATAATCGGCCATGTATTTCCGAAACTCGTTTCTGGTCTCCTTGTCAGCGGAGACAGCGTAGGCGGGCTGTCCTTTCCCATCTCTGATGAACAGAGGCAAACACAAGAAACACGCTGCTGAAACTCCGCTTAAACACTGCTCTGAGAGTTTAGTAGCCCCCGGGGTGAATAATTTCTCCCTGTTTATTTGATCAAAATGCCCAGACTATTTTCTAGTGATGGTGCTCTGATAAGGAGAGTAGATTGGAACAATGTTACAGCAGTGTAGTGACTGTGTATTTTGTGGGCAAAACTCGGCAACCAATTGCACACAGCAGCGTCCCACCAACAGTCGTGGATTGAGTGACCAAATTATTATTATTATTTGGGAGGTATTATTACCCCCGGAAAACGATCAGTCAAATCGACTGAAAAACCGGGTTCCTTCTTACTGCCCGGTAAACAGAGGTGTGCGTGTGTGGAGTAAGGAAACTTGCCCGGGATTCAAACCCGGGTCCTCTCGCTTGTGAGGCGAGTGCTCTCATCACTGAGCTACAGGAGGGAATGTCAGACTGACCTGACAGAGGGATCACACCCGGAGTCCATCAGCAGCCGCAGGATGGACCGCTGACCGGCAGCGGACGCCACATGGAGCAGCGTGACTCCAGCCGTGTCCAGCTTCCCGTTCAACATGGCTGCCACATCTGGCTGCCCCACATCTGGCAGACTCTCCCCACCGCCCTCCATCCTGCTCCCCGATTCTGAGCCGATTGTCACATCTCCCGACCTCTCCATTGTGTGTTCTGCCGTCTCAGGGGTCTGAGTGTGAGGGGCAACAGCCCCGCTGGGGGGCAACGGGTGCGTCAGTAAACTGCGGAGAGAGTCCACATCTCCAGTCTTGCAGGCTGTGTACAGGGCGTCCCTCAGCCTGTAATACTCTAACACAGAACACACAGCCATTGGGGTTAGAGTAGAGAGCTCCAGTGGGGGAGCGAACCCCAGCACAGACACGATGGGGGGAGAGAGAGAGCAGCGAATGGGGTTAGAGTAGAGAGCTCCAGTGGGGAGTGAGGGGAAAGCCTTAAGTACCTTGCTCCTGGGCACTCACTGGTCTCTTACTCTTTGGCTGCCTGGTTTCCTCGGTCGGGGCTGAGTCTGTCACAAGTGATGGAGACGCTTGAGGGGGGTTCCTGCAGCCCCTCTCCTCCTGGGGATCCGGGGCCACTGTAAACAGCAAGAACTTGCTCATTACCCAGAAATCATCTTCTAACGTCTCACCCAGCACTCCACACTCCCAGGTCAGAGTTAGAGACACAGTAAAGCTCCTCTACACTGTGTGTCCACACTCCCAGGTCAGAGTTAGAGACACAGTAAAGCTCCTCTACACTGTGTGTCCACACTCCCAGGTCAGAGTTAGAGACACAGTAAAGCTCCTCTACACTGTGCATCCACACTCCCAGGTCAGGGTTAGAGACACAGTAAAGCTCCTCTACACTGTGTGTCCACACTCCCAGGTCAGGGTTAGAGACACAGTAACGCTCCTCTACACTGTGTGTCCACACTCCCAGGTCAGGGTTAGAGACACAGTAAAGCTCCACTACACTGTGTGTCCACACTCCCAGGTCAGGGTTAGAGACACAGTAAAGCTCCTCTACACTGTGTGTCCACACTCCCAGTTCAGGGTTAGAGACACAGTAAAGCTCCTCTACACTGTGCGTCCACACTCTCAGGTCAGGGTCAGAGACACTCACCCTCGCCCTCTCCTGCCGGTTTCTTCCGCCGTCTCCTGCGTTTGTGTCTGGGCCAGACCTCGAGGCCCCGCAGCCCCTCGGTGCTCAGCGTCTCCTCCACGGTCTCCAGGAGACATGGCGCGTTGGTGGGATCCGAATCCTCCTGGTCTGTGGGAGGAGGCGAGTGGCGGGGAGGTGAGTCAGAAAACCGAGAGATTAAGCAGACTTCCCCATCCGCCCCCGGCTGATAAACGACAACAGTAATAGCCGCGCTCTCACCCTCTTTCTCCGAGTCGGTTTCTTCCGCCCTGGGCTTCACTATTTTCTTCCAGAGTCTTTTACTCGGGCTGTTGATCTCACCCACATCAGCGTCTTTCCCTGTGAGAGAGTGAACAAAATGATGAGTGAATGAGTGAGAGAGAGAGAGAGGGGGAGGGTGCAAGAGAGAGAGAATGTGAGAAAGACAGTGAGAGAGAATGTGTATGTGTGTGTGTGTGTGTGAGAGTGAGAGAGAGAGAGACGGTGAGTGAAAGAGACAGAGGCGAGTGGAGTAAGGAAACTTGCCTAAGGGTTCGCCCTGCCCGGCTCCTCTCACTTGCGAGGTGAGCGCGCTGACCATGACATTATACAGGACAACACACTACGAGAACCTAAGGGCTGAACGTCACTCAGTCACCGCTGGCAGCTGTCACTCACCATAGAGCTGCAGGCTGGAGAGGGTCTCGTGAACCCGCTTCACTTCTTTGAAGGTAGCTCTCCTGGTATCGAAGGGGATGGTACGCAGGCGGGGGTCGCTCTTGCTCAGCATCCCAGGCACCCCCTTTCCCCCGTGGAATATCCCCCGGTTGTAGCTGGGAGCTCGCAGGAAGATAGCACTGGCCTCCTGCAGGTATTCCGACCAGCTCTCCATCAGCTCCTGTATATCCTGGGCACAGAGTCAGACAGTGTGTGAGCACGAGAGGGGGAGACAGGGAGAGGACTAAGAGAGGCAGAGAGAGAAAGAGACAGGGAGAGAGAGCAACAGACAGAGAGAGAGAGAGAGAGAGAGACAGGGAGAGCCAGAGAGCCAGAAAGGTGGGGGGGGGGGAGAGAGAGAGAGATTGAAAGAGAGAGAGAAAGAGAGACAGAGGGAGAGAGAGAGACAGAAAGGAAGGAAGGAAGGAAGGAAGGAAACAGACAGAGCGGGAGAAAGAGAGACAGACAAAGTGAGAGACAGACAGACAGACACAAAGAGAGACAAACAGACAGACAAGGAGGCAGAGAGAAAGAGCGCGAGAGAGAGAGAGAGAGAGAGCGTGAGTAGCATTAATTACTTTGGGAACCCAATGCCTTTTCAAACCCGGGCTCACAAAATACACAGTCGCTACACTTCACATTATAATCCTGTGAAGGGGTCGGGAAGTCCTTGTGACGTACGAGGCCATCGTTACCAAATGTAAGATTATTATTTACAACAACAACAAACCAACAACAACTTGCATATTTACCCGCCCGCCCTTCGTGGAGCGCTTAACTGATATTATTGTTACTGCTGCTGCGGCTGCTGTGCCACCTGTACAATCTCCACTGCTCACCTTGACCAGGGCAGCCTCGTTGTGTCGCCGCAGGGCTGCGCCGGCAGACTTGGGCGCATGTCCGCGGGCCTGACCGTCCCTCACGCTCTGCGCTGTCCCTCGCTTGGCTCGGACCGTGTAGCGGTGGAAGGTCTTGTGCCGCAGAGCTTCACTCCTGACGTGGAGAGAGAGAGAGGGAGAGAGAGGGGGAGAGGGAGAGAGAGAGTGCGACCGATAACCTAAGTTTTATACAATAATTAATAATAATCCTGGCATTTGATACGGAGCCTTATCACGGCGTCAGGATATTATTATTATTATTATTAGTATGCGAGGTGAACACGCTAATCATACGCTACAGGACTAGTGATAGTGTTTGTCTGTTGGTGGTGGGGTGTGTGGGGGGTGGGGGGGGTGCGGTGTGAAGCGCTCCACACTCACTCACCCTTGAAATATGGCTCCGGCAAAATGGCCTCCGCCCGTCATTAGCACAGCCCAGATCGTCTCACTGCTCAGCTTCTGCAGCGACGTCACCAATTCCTCCTCTTTAGCTTCCTGTGGAAGCACAACAACAAATGACCTTTGTGTAGCGGCCTTCGCATCGGGAGGACGTCCCGAAGCCCTGGACGTGAGAGAAGCTATTCAGGATATTAAGGCCAGGGTCGAGCGGAGTGGTCTCGGTGGAGCTGGTGCTCACCTGCTTCCCCTGGAGAACACAGCGATAGACTGAGAGGTACTGGCCCTCGGCGTTCCTGAAGAGTAGGCGCTGACTGTGCCGGGCCGGCTGGCACTCCCCCGCCTCCGACTCCAGCTCTGGCACGGACTTCCGGGCCTCCCCGCACCGCAGGAGGTCATCCTCGCTGTCAGAGCTCGTGTCCTCCGAGTCTGAGCCCGAGAGGCTGGATATGTCGCCTGGAGAACACACGCACACACAGACACTCAGAGGTGAGGACGAGATACACCTGTGTCTAATAATAATAATAATCCTTGCGTTTGATACCGCGCCTGACCATGTCATCGCAGGCTGGAGAGGGGGTAAATGGCCTCCTCCTCTCACTCTCTGGCCAGCGAGCGGACGTGAGTGAGTCTCGAGAGACTGTGCAGGACGGCCGCGTGCATCACGTACCTGCGATCTTCTCAAACTCCTCCTCGGGGACGGGCCGCGCTCCCGCCAGCCTCTGCCTCAGGTTGAACCTGTGCCAGTCCAGCTTGTAGTGCTCTGTCTAGGGTCAGACACAGAACAACCAAACACGCACGCGCACGCACACACACACACACAACGCGGGGTTAAACGTCTCAGTGACACGATGCGGCGCCGCATCAAATGCAAGGGTTGCTATTTTTATCATTACGATCAAACCAAACCGTCCCGCGGCTCGGTGGTCAGAGCGCCCGCCTCGCAAGTGAGAGGACCCGGGTTCGATCCCCGGGCGGGTCCGTCGGGGCGGAACCCGAGGCGAGTCTCCTCACTCCGCGCGTCTCTGCTCACCGGCAGTCAGTGGGTTAAGTCGGTTGGCGGATCGCTTTCCGGGGGTAATAATCCCTTCAAAAGACGTTTAGTCACTCAAATCCATGACTGTTTGCGTCGTGTGGGGCGGGGGGGGGGGGGACGGGGACGCCGCTGGGCGCAATTGGCTGCTGCCGCGTTTCGCCCACAAAATACACAGTCACTACACTCTACAGCATATTCTATATCAAATGCAAGGATTATTATGATGATGACGATCAGGTCACTCCTTAAGCCTCTCAGCTCCGGTTAAAAAGAAAGCCTTTAATCGTGGTGCATTTCGACACTCTCCGCACCTCTCCCGCCCCCCCCCAGCCCCCAGCCCCCCACCCCCAGCCCCCCCGCCCCGAGATAACGGGATCATTACCTGCTCCTCCCTGCTGTCAAATGGACACTGACAGGCCGAGCAATGCAGCTTGTCCGAGATCTCCGGGGCCGCTCGCCCACCGTTTGTCCCACCGCCCTCCGCCGCGCTCTCTCCTGCGCAGAGAAACAACAGCGTGGCGTCACGCCCAGCAACGACCCCCCCCCCAACCCCGGGAAATCCCTCCACTGTTCCTGACTCGCGGTGCGGAGGGACGCGGCGAAGCTCAAGGTGCCCGGGCTGAGAGCCGCAAGACACACAGTCACTGCACTTCGAGGCGAAGGGCTTCGCCGCGTTCCCCCCCCGGACTCCGCCGAGGCACACGTCAGGCGCCAGGAGCGTCTCACAGCCCTTCTCACGGGGATGTCCTGCAAAGTGTAGTGACTGTGCGTTTTGTGGGTGAAACGCGACAGCCGGTTGCGCCCGGGGATATCCCACAAACCCCCCCACCCCCACCCCACCCCCCGCGCGGACAGCCCCGCGGGATCGGGATCTCGAACGTCCGCCCGAACAGGGCACAGGGGGGGGACGGGGAGGGGTGGGGTGGGGGGAAGGGTGGGGGGGGGGAGGGGTGGGGGGTCATCGTCTCATCCGAAGGTCGGCGTCTCCGACAATGCTGCGCACTCTCCCCCCCCCTCTCTCTCTCCCCCCCCCCCACCCCCGAGCATCAGCCTGGGCTGTCAGCTCAGAGCCCCCGAGGCGGGGTGGGGGAGGGCGGGGGAGGAGGCTGCGGCCCGCGGGCCGGAATGCGGCCCGCGGGCCGGGCGACACCGACCCAGCGGCTCGGGCAGTCTCCCACACCTCTGTCGGCGCGGCTCTCGGCCGCCCACACCAGGCGGGCTCCCCGCCGCGGGTCCGGCTGCTCGCGGGCGGCGTGGAAGAGCGAACGGCCTCCCGCTCCCGCCTTCATGCCCCGACCTCAGCGATGACCGGGCGCACGGTCTGAGCTTCACTGCGCAGGCGCCGCGCGGGGCAGGCCGGGAGCTGTAGTCTGTGCCCCGTGTGTCAGCGCCGCCCACTCAGTGCGCAGCCGCAGAGGCACCTGCCCGCCCGCCGCCCGAAGCACGCCGGGAATTGTAGTATTTTCGGACGGACGGGAACTGACGGCGCAGGCGCTCTGAGTCCCCTCCGTGACGCACTTCCGCCCCGCAAGGCCAGCACCTCCGGTCAGGGGTTTGTTTTTGCGCTGCTCGAGCTACTGCCGGTAAGGCCTGTGTCACGGTGTGTGTCACTGTGTCTGTCACTGTGTGTGTCTGTCACTGTCTGTGTGTCACTGTCTGTGTCACTGTGTCTGTGTCACTGTCTGTCACTGTGTGTCTGTCACTGTCTGTCACTGTGTGTCACTGTGTGTATCACTATGTCACTGTGTCTGTGTCACTGTATGTGTGTCACTGTGTGTCACTGTGTGTATCACTATCACTGTGTCTGTGTCACTGTGTCTGTGTCACTGTGTGTCTGTCACTGTGTGTGTGTGTCACTGTGTGTCTGTCACTGTGTGTGTGTCACTGTGTGTATGTCACTGTTTGTCACTGTGTGTCACTGTGTCTGTCACTGTGTCTGTCACTGTGTTTGTGTCACTGTGTGTCTGTCACTGTGTCTGTCACTGTGTGTGTGTCACTGTCTGTCGTTGTGTGTGTGAGACTGTCTGTCACTGTGTGTGTCTCATTGTGTGTCACTGTGTGTGTCTCATTGTGTGTCACTGTGTGTGTCTCATTGTGTGTCACTGTGTGTGTATTGTGTATCGCTGTGTGCGCTCAGAGTTGCTGTGTGCGCGCGTGTGTGTGAGACTGTGTGCGCGTGTGTCTGTATGTGTGTGTGTCACTGTGTGTGTGTGTGAGAGAGACTGTTTGTGTGTCCCTGTGTCTGTCGGTGTGTGTGTGTGTGTGTGTGACTGTGCTGTGTGGCACAGTGTGTGAGGGTCTGTGTGTCTCTGTGTATTTCCAATACAATATACCTAAGACCTGTCACGCTGACTCCCCAAAAGGTGGGCTCCGATCGTGCTGTTGCCCAATACCCACCTACACACACAAATGCCTCCCAACGCGCCATCGCTGGATGGAAATCAGGAGCATTTGGGATGCTGCCAGACTCACATACTTACATAGAATAATACGACACAGAAATAGGCACAGCTACTCCTTGCCAGTGCGCACCCTCCACACCAGCCTCCACAGCCCCCCCCCCCGCCCCCGTTCTCCTCTATTCCCCTCTCCCCAAGTTTTCTCTTAAATATGTCGTTACGTTTTTCTGCGTGCAGGTTCTAACCCGAGGCGAGTTTCCTCACTCCCCGCGCCTCTGTTTACCAGCGGTCAGTAGGCACCCGGATGTTTAGTCGATTGGCGGATCGCTTTCCGGGGGGTAATAATCCCTCAAAAAAAAAACATGTCGGTCGCTCAATCCACGACACAGCTGTGCACAATTGGCTGCCACGTTTCGGCCACAAAGTACACAGTCACGACAAATTACAACGTATTCACATTTTTAAGACTGAGGTGGACAGAGGTTTGTTAGGTCAAAGGTGTCGAGGGATACGGGGAAAAGACGGGTAATTGGAGTTGAGGTGCAGATTAGCCGTGATCTTATAGAATGGCGGAACAGGCGCGAGGGAGTGAATGGCCTCCTCCATTTCCTATGTTCCTTTATTCCTGTATCCCGTGAAGCGCTTTGAGACGTCTCAATTATGTGATAAGGTGCTTTATTAATATTATTAATATTATTATTATAATTATAATATAGAGGTTCTTGTACCACAGCAGATGGAGCTGTTCCTAACACATTGACCCCATTGAGCCATACCTGTTTATATTGTCTCTTTATTTTCAGTGACATCGCAAAATGAGTTTGCTGTGTGTCCCTGAGTAAGCGTAGTTATCGGGAGGATTATCAGCTGAGCTGTTAGGTGTGTGCGACTGATAAGAGCCTGGGAGAAAAGGACGTTCAATTAGCTCCTATGTGTAGAGCCAAGAGGGTGAAGAGACAGAGAAATGACTTGGGGGGTTTTATACCACCTTATCACACCAAAATGTCTCGAAACACTTTTCAGTAATTTTGGTCGAGTTGCTGTTGTTGCAGGGAAACGTAGCAGCCATTTGTGCACGAAGTCCCCTGACCTGCTACAAGGCGAATGGGCAGTTTATCTGAAGGATGGCTGGTCAGGTTAATGCCTCAACCAAAGGACGGCACCTCTGACAATGCCGCAATCCCTTTATCTCCCCACCCTCCCACTCCTCCCGCCCGCCCGGCCCCTCAAATTTGGGGAGAGGAGTGTATACAGAGACACATATACAGAATGTGTGTACATTCCTGAGACCTTTTTGTACCCAGGGAAATGGGGCAGCGTTATTACACAGAGAGAGGGAGAGTCAGAGAGGTGGATCTATAAAGATCTATAGCACTTTGATGCATTCAAAAGCTAAATGGTGGAGCACAATGGATTGAGCTCCTGTTAATAATAATAATAAGCCTTGCATTTGATATAGCGCCTTATCACGGCTTCAAGACGTCTCAAAATGCTTCACAGAATATACTGTAAAGTGTAGTAACTGTATTTTGTGGGCGAAACATCATAGTTTTCCTGTGTACAAGGAGTATATAGAGAGTGATAATAATGGAATTGAAAGTCCAACAGAATTACTAGAGACTGTGTTTTGAATCAGGCCTGAATGTGCTCTGTGAGCGAGCGAGCGAGCGAGCGTGTGTGGGTGTGAGGGGGATCAGGTGACGTTTCTGAGATCGAAGCAGAGATCCAAAGTGGAGTCCTGTTGTTTAGTGGTTAAAACATTTGCCGTGCAAGCAAGCGAGAGGACCTGGGTTCGATTCCCAGGCGGGGCGAAAGCTTTGGCAAGTTGCCTTACTCCGCACGCATCTGTTTACCTAGCAATAAGTAGGAACTCGGTTGGTAAACAATTACCGGATCGCTTTCCGGGGATAATAATCCCTCCCAAATAACGAAATAATCTGGTCTCTCAATCCACGACTGTGGGACGCTGCTGTGTGCAATTGGCTGCCCCGTTTCACCCACAAAATGCACAGTATATCCTGTGAAGCACTTCTGGACATCTCAACGACGTGATAAAGCGCTATATCAAATGCAAGCATTTACTGTGAAGTGTAGTGACTGTGTGTTTCTGTACGCTTCAGAGCAACTCCTGTGGGAGCGCTTTGAGCCATCCTCCCGACACGACAGGCAGTGCAGTGCGTGTGTTGCACGCGAGGATTGTTGACTCGGGAATGTTTACAGCAGAGCTAAAGGGAGTGAGTTGCAGGGTGTGACCAGACTTATTAAGTGTGACAGCTCCCTGGGGCACGCAGAGTTAAGATCTATAGTCGTAATTTTACAACCGAGTGAGTGCTGTCTCACTCTGCCGGACTCTGACTTGCGGTTTCTGTTTCCCAAAACTCTCAGTCGCTTGAAAAACTGGGAAACCGTGCGGAGTCATAGTCCACATTTGAATAATCCGAGTTTAATCATAATTACAGGGAGCTGTCTTGTCAGGAGACTCCCCAGGGAATCCTTTAGAATATTCCACAAAAGGGAGGGTTCGAGGAAGGGAAAAAGAGAGACAGACAGAAAGGGAGGGCGAAAGAGAGAGAGGGAGGGGCGGGGGAGGGAGAAAGAAAAAGAAAGATCTTAACAACAATAATAATCCTCGCATTTGATATAGCGCCTTATCACGTCGTTGAGACGTCTCAAAGCGCTTCACAGCATATATGTAAAGTGCAGTGACTGTATTTTGTGAGTGAAGTGCGACAGCCAATTGTGCACAGCGACGTCCTCACAAACAGTCGTGGATTGAGAGACCAGATTTTGTTTCCGTTACGGGACCTAATCTGATGATTTCTGTCACTTTCAGGGACCCAACAGAGACTGTTATAACAGAATTGCCTTCGCTGTGCCTGTGACGTGTGGTGGAGCAGGTCTGTGCTCTGGTGTTTAAGGTGAGCTGGTGTGGGGCAGTAACAACAACAACTTACATTTACACAGCGCCCTGCACGCAGGACAGCATCTCCGAGCGGGGCACAGAGGCGCGAGCAAGGTGGGTGGGGGAGGAGGGCGGGGGGAAGGTGACCAGTGGAACAGGTAGGCTGTTAGGTGGGATTTAATAATAATAATAATCCTCACATTTGATACAGCGCCTCATCACGTTGTTGAGACGATTCAAAGCGAATCACAGAATATACAGTACAGTGTATTGACTGTAGTCATCGCTGCGGGTTTGTCCGGCTGGTGACCGGGCGTCAGAACAATGGTAACTACGGTACCAAACACTAAGGTCCGCGGCACTTCATGTCATTGGAATGTTTACTACTAAAGAGGTGAGGCTCTCCTGAACATCTCTCCAGAGGCCATCTCAGTGCCTGAGCCAAGAGCGGTGAGTGCCAACAGCGGCATGTGACTGGAGAGGATCACTGCTCTGTCCTTAGCTGATATCACAACACTTACACCTTCCAGCTGTTGCACAGTAAAGCTCCTCTACACTGTGTGTCCACACTCCCAGGGTCAGGGTTAGAGACACAGTAAAGCTCCTCTACACTGTGTGTCCACACTCCCAGGTCAGGGTTAGAGACACAGTAAAGCTCCTCTACACTGTGTGTCCACACTCCCAGGTCAGGGTTAGAGACACAGTAAAGCTCCTCTACACTGTGTGTCCACACTCCCAGGTCAGGGTTAGAGACACAGTGGAGCTGCCTTTACAATGGACAATTACAATGTAATGCTGAGTAGGATGATCAGTCTTTGATCCCAGCAGCGTGGTCCAGCCAGAGGTCAGAGAGCCAGAGCTGGAACAAACAACTCGTCCCAGGCACATGCAGTTGCTTTCTCTCTGTTCCCAGTGGTCTTGCAAGCAGCCTGATAGAAAGTCTGGGAACGGGGGAATAATAACAACAATCGCTTGCATTTGATATAGCGTCTTATCAAGTCTTCGAGACGTCTCAAAGGGCTTCACAGAACATACTATAATAATAATAACAATGTGGAGTGACTGTATTTCGTGGGCGAAATGCGGCAGCCAACTGTGTGGATTGAGTAACCAAATTATTATTATTATTTTTTGGAGGCATTATTACCTCCGGAAAGCGATTCACCAATCGACTAACCACCGGGTTCCTACTTACCGCTGGTAAACAGAGGCGTGAGTGTGGAGTAAGGAAACTTGCCTCAGGTTTCGCCCTGACCCGCCCGGGAATCAATCGAACCCAGGTCCTCTCGCTTGCGAGGCGACCGCACTAACCACTAAGGAATAGTAAATGTGACCGGACGGCTGTGTTGTGGAGTGCCTGATTGGCCCCCAGGGTGGGGGGTGTACATGGGGAAGGGTGGGGGTTTGGAAGCTTCTGCTGCTGATGATGGTGCGTGTATGTGTCTGGCAGGTGCTGATGCTGTGTGTGTGTGTGTCTGGTAGGTGCTGATGCTGTATGTTTCAGCACCTTGGGACGTCCTCCAGATGTGAAAGGCACTATACAAATGTTATCTTGTATGTGTGTGGCAGGTGCTGATGCTGTGTGTGTGTGTGTGGCAGGTGCTGGTTTTATTCCACAACACTGATGGTGTGTGTGTGGCAGGTGCTGTTGCTGTGTGTGTATGTGACAGGTGCTGATGCTGTGTGTGTGTGTCTGGCAGGTGCTGAGAGTCGAGGAAGGATGGAAGAGTAGAGGATGGCTCACTTCACCACAGATTACCAGCGGCTGGAGGCCTCCTACAGCGACTCTCCCCCGGGCGAGGAGGACCTTCTGGTCCATATCGCTGAGGGCAGCAAATGTGAGCTCCGGGGGCACGCCTGCGGGGAGAGGGAGAGAGACAACAGAGAGACCCACAGAGTGGGGGGGATAGGGGGAAGGAGAGGAGCACAAATAGGGGGAGAAAGAGAGATGCATAGACAGGCGAAGGGGGAGGGAGGGAGACACGCAGGGAGATAGAGTGATGCGCAGAGGGAGAGGCGTGGAGTTGAGACGAGCGGAGAGAGGGGAAGAGAGAAATGGGCAGCGAAGGTAAGAGAGAGAAACGCTTAGAGAGTGGGGGAGAACGACGTGCACACAAACCTATGGACTGTGCGCTCCACAGGTCTCCTCACCTCCCTCCCTGTCGGTCTGGCTCCTCACACCTGTCTCCCCAGTCTGAAGGGTTTGACTATCCCATGTGTAACCTCTCACTCTGTCCCTTTCATTTCCAGCGCAATGGCATCACATCGAAAACCTCGACCTCTTCTTCACCAGGATATCCTTTTGCAGTGAGCGAGTGTGTGGTTAGCGGGTGTACTGTGTGTGAGGGTGTATTGTGGCCTGTGTGTGAGTGTGTGTATGATGTGAGTGTGTGTACCGTGTCCCACGTGTATACAATGTCTGACTGAGTACCATGGCCCTGGCATGTACCACGTATGAGCGTATGTGTACCATGTACCATGTGTGTGTTGTTGCAGTTAGCTGTGAGCTGTGGGTGATGAGGGTCAGAGGACTGACAGGCTGTGGGTTGAGTCCTGGTGGGCACCCCTACCCTCTGCCCTTTTGGAGTTGGTGAAAATCTAATAGCAAAAGCTGTTTGAGGGGAGGAAGGAGCTGGAGCAGACAGCAAGCCTCCGAGATGTTGGATTAAGCCGTGTGAAGTATGTATAAACACAAGTTGTTGTGAATACAAAGCACTGATGGGCGTGAAGCTAATCGCTGAGACTTGTTAGTGTGGGATACGTCAACAACAACAATTTGTACTTACGCAGCGCTCCTCACACAGGGCAGCGTCCCAGAGCGCTTGATAGTGGCGGAGCACAACCCTAGTTGAGGGGAGGTGGGGGGGTAGGGTGGGAGTGGCGAGGAAACTGACCGTAAGCACGGCCGAAGAGTTGTTGTTGCCGTGCCTTAACCCAGACTGAACATCTACCATCTGCACCAGAAGAACGGCTTCACCTGCATGTTGCTGACTGAGCTCTTCGAGCTGGTGTAAGTCACCCGTCCTTGTTCAACTCATAGTCTCCTCCTCCTGATCAGAGAGGACAAGCGGTGGAGCTCTCTCTCACTCTCTTTCTCTCACTCTCTTATCACTTACTCACACTCCCGGTTTTTCTTTCTCTTGCTGTCTCACTCTCTCTCACTCACTTTCTCTCACGCTCTCTCTCTCTCTCGCTCACTCACCTTCTCACTCACTCTCTTTCATTCTTTCTTATACTCGCACTCTCACTTCCTCTCACTCTTTCTCCATCACTCACTTACACTGTCTCTCTCTCTCTCTCTCTGGCAGGCAATTTCTGTTCGTCGTGGCCTTCACCACGTTCCTGGTGAACTGCGTGGACTATGACATCCTGTTTGCCAACAAAATGATCAACCACACGCAGCGGGGACACGAGACTGTGAAAGTCACTCTGCCGGATGCTTTCCTGGCCCCACAGGCCTGCACTGCCAAGTAAGTGGTCCGTGGGCACTTCTGTATCTACAGCCCGGTGTGTCTGTGTTTGTCTGTGTGTGTAGTGTGTGTGTGTGTGTAGCGTAATGCGTGTCTGTGAGTGTAGTGAGTGTGGGGGGGTTGGGCAGGGTGGGCAGGAGGTTAGGATAACACAGAAAAGACACCGTTCGGCTCACTGAGCCTCTACTACTCTCCCTGTGTTACTAAGATCAATTTTTTGAATCCAGTATTCTGGCTCCCTCCCCTCACATCCCTTAGGCAAGTTTCCTTACTCCACGCGTCTCAGATCCTTTTGCTTAGCAGTATGTAGGAACCTGGTTGCTTCCCCACCTTCAATCCACCCTCCCCCACCCCGAACCCCAGCTCGGGTCTGTCTGTCCAGCGCCTTGGGACATCCTCCCATCGTGAAAGGCGCTTTACAAATGTAAATTTTGTTGCTGTTGTTGTTAGTCGATTGGGGGAAACGCTTTTCTGGGGTAATAATCCCTCCAAAAAAATAATAACAATGCGGTCACTCAACCCACGGCTGTTTGTGGGGCACTGCTGAGCTCTATTGGCTGCCGCGTTTAGCCCACAAAATGCACAGTCACTACACTTTGCAGTTTATCCTGTGAAGCTTTTTGAGACGTCTCAGCGACGTGATAAGGCGCTGGGTTAAATGCCGGGATTATTACCGTTATTATTATTGTTATGTGGGCCGGACGTGTGGCTGTGCTGTGGAGCCTGGGATTGACAGCTGCTTTCGTCTCTCTCAGGATCCAACACAATGTCTTCATCATCTTTATCCTGCTGATTGCTGGTATATTCTGGCTGCATCGCCTCATCAAATTCATCTACAGTGTCTGCTGCTACTGGGAGATCCGCTCCTTCTACATCAACGCCCTGCAGATCCGCATGGTGAGTAACCCACGCCCTCAGTGGGCGGGAGAGAGATGCCGGGGGTGGGGGAGAGATGGAGTGGAGGGTGAATTAAACAGAATAGGCTGGGTGAGCGCGGCAGTGTTACAGTGGTCTCAGCTGCTTGTGCTCGGAGCAGGAGGTTGAGGCTTTGAGCCCCAACGATACCCCAAATAAATCGCTTTCCGGGGATAATAATCCCTCCAAAAGCAATGCGCTTTGAGGTTTCTCAGTGGCATAATGAGGCGCTGTATCAAATGTAAGGATTATTATTAATACTTATAATATTGCTGTGTCAGGCGGACCTGCCCTACTTCAGTTGGCAGGAGGTGGAGGCGCGGATCATTGAGATCCAGAAGGAACATCAGATCTGCATCCACAAGAAGGAGCTGACCGAACTGGACATCTACCACCGCATCCTCCGCTACAAGAACTACACGGTGGCCATGGTCAACAAGTCCCTGCTGCCCATCCGCTTCCACCTGCCGCTGCTGGGTGAGGTGGTCTTCTACACCAGGGGGCTCAAGTACAACTTCGAGCTGATCTTCCTGTGGGGGCCGGGGTCGCTGTTCGAGAACGAGTGGAGCTTGAAGACGGAGTACAAGCGCGGGGGCAGCCGGCTGGAGCTGGCCGACAAACTGAGCTCTCGCATCCTGTGGATCGGCATCGCCAACCTGCTGCTCTGCCCCATCATCCTGATCTGGCAGATCCTCTACGCCTTCTTCAGCTACACGGAGGTGATCAAGCGGGAGCCGGGGAGCCTGGGGGCCCGGTGCTGGTCGCTGTACGGACGCTGTTACCTGCGGCACTTTAACGAGCTGGATCACGAGCTGCACTCGCGGCTCAGCAAGGGCTACAAGGCGGCCTCCAAGTACATGAACTGCTTCCTCTCGCCGCTGCTCACCGTCATCGCCAAGAACGTGGCCTTCTTCGCGGGCTCCATCCTGGCTGTGCTCATCGCTCTCACCATCTACGACGAGGACGTGTTGGCCGTGGAGCACGTGTTGACCACCATCACCCTCCTGGGGGTGTGCATCACCGTCTGCAGGTCAGCACCGCCCAGGGGTGCGCTGCGCTCTGTCTACCGAGTTGTGGGGTTCTGATATGTGCGGAAACCGTACACAGGGTGTTCACAAAGTCCTGTTGACCCCCTCCCACCCCCCGCCTGTTTTTTTTCAGTGGGGGAGCGAGCCCCAGCACAGACACGATGGGGAGAGAGAGTGAGAGAGAGCAGGGAATGGGGTTGGAGTAGAGAGCTCCAGTGTGTGTGGGGGTGTCCTGTAGTGGAAACTGTAGTGGAAACTCCGTCCCCACATCTCAGCAGTTCTGGCCCGGGCTCCCCATAACCAAACTGATCGACTTCAAGATCCTCTCACTCTTGTGTTCAAATCCCTTCACTCCCTGGTCCCTCCATCTCCGGCCTCCTCACTCCCCAATCCAGCACCCGGCACCTCAGCTCGACTGGCACCGGCTCCTGCTCATCCCTCGCGCCCTCCGCCCCACCATCGGAGGTCGCGCTTTCAGCCACTACGCCCCAAAACTCTGGAACGCTGTCCCTCAACCTTCAACCCCTCCGCCTTGGCCCCTCTCTCCCCTTTTTCAAGTCCCGCCTGAAAGCGTTTCACCACCTGCCGCCCCCCAGCCCCCCACCCCCACCCACCCGGCTCGGAGTCAGGCTGTGCCATTGTTAAGCTCTGAGATGCTGCCCTGGGTGGAGGGCGCTATATAAGTGCAGGTTGTTGTTGTTGAGCTGTCGGTAACCGAATAACCCAGTTTGGGTTGTGGGAGCAGCAGTAAGTGATACTTGGCTGACCTCGTGATGATGTTGACGTGAATCTATCTTTGTTTGTCCCGCTGTCAGATGTTTCATCCCGGACAAGGACATGGTGTTCTGCCCCGAGCAGCTGCTGAAAGTCATCCTGTCTCACATCCACTATATGCCCGATCACTGGCTGGGCAATGCCCACCGCTACGAGACCCGCGACCAGTTTGCTCAGCTGTTCCAGTACAAAGCTGTAAGCAGGGGATATTCTTGCGTGGGTGGTGGGTGGGGTGGGGGGCGGTGCTGGACAACACTCATCAGACGAGAGAGCCGTTGCCTTGACTGACAGGTCCATCTGCCGTTCAGGGGTGAGGATGCCCTGACGAGCCCCCCACCCCCCACTCAGGCTGGACCAGAAGTGGGCAGGTGCCAAGAGGGGACCCAAGTTAGGACCCGACCTCACACAGTCTAAACTGATAAAAAGAGAAGGGAGTTTCTCTCTCTCTCTCCCGGTGTCCTGGCCAAAAATCCCCCCCCCAAATAAAATTTGGTCACTCATTTCACGGCTGCGTGTGGGACTCCGCTGTGCGCAATTGGCTGCCGCCTTTCGCCTTCCACCTTTCACAAAACACACAGTCACTACACTTTAATATCTGGGGGATAACAGTGTATAGTTTGGGACACGACATATCAAGCGACTGCCAGGATGGTAGAAGGCGAATGAGATGGACCTCGGTCTTCCTTCGCCAGCAGATTGTTAAGTTCTGATGTTCTTTACAGTGTGTCCTGTGAAGCGCTTTGAGACGTCCCAACGATGTGATAAGGCGCTGTATAATGTGAGGATTATTATTATGATGATGATGATTTGAGATGAGGTGGGAATGATCAGCGGCCTCTCCCGTACCCCCCAGATGTTTATCTTGGAGGAACTGCTGAGCCCCATCGTCACCCCCTTCATCCTGATCTTCTGCCTGAGGAGAAAATCGCTCGAGATCATCGACTTCTTCCGGAACTTCACCGTGGAGGTGGTGGGGGTCGGAGACACCTGCTCGTTTGCCCAGATGGATGTCAGACAGCACGGCCACCCTGCAGTAAGACCCTCGCTCGCCTCGTCCGCTAATCTTCTCCCTCCTCTACTCTTCCCCACCCCCGCCCCACCCTCTACTCTTCGCTCCCCTCCTCTTCAGTTTGGCTCAGGCACTTTCACTTCTTGGTCAAGAGGTTGTGGGTTCTGCTCTTGTGTCGGAGGCTCTGAGTTCACGGTCCAGGCTGATGCTCCAGCTCAGCGCTGTGGGGTGGGGGGAGGAGAGAGAGAGAGAGAGCGCCACATTGTCGGGAGATGCTGTCTTGTTTGGAAGGGGCATTAAATCTCACTCTCTTCCTGTCTGTGCCCTGTTCAGGCCGTGTATATAAAACGCTACCTCGTGTGAAGGCTGCAAGGGGGTTGGGCATTGGGTGGGTGGGCTGTGTTGGGGTAGGGGAAGGGGGTGGGTGCCAGACTGGAGTGGTTGGAAGGTGTGGGGGGTGTGTGGTGGGGGGGGGGTGTTGGGGGGGTGGATTGTGATGATGGTGTAAAGCAGTGCGGCGATGCCTCACTGATCTCTCTCTCCGCCCCTCGCCAGTGGCTGTCGGCCGGCAAGACCGAGGCCTCCATCTACCAGCAGGCGGAGGACGGCAAGACGGAGCTGTCTCTCATGCACTTCGCCATCACCAACCCCAAGTGGCAGCCTCCCCAGGAGAGCACGGCCTTCATCAGCCAACTGACCGAGAGGGTCCACCGCGACACAGCCACCGCCATCAGCACCCAGACCGTCCTGCCCCCCAACACCATGTTCACGTCGCTGCAGTCCGTGCAGTCCGAGTCTGAGGTGAGGGAGCTCCGCGCTGGGAATGTTCCCTTCCCGGGTCCATCCCACCAGCAATTCCCTTGAAAGATCGCTCGCTCGCTCGCCTGCCGCACACTCGCTCCCTCGCCTTGTGGCACGGTGCTGACCTGGCCCGAGGTGTAGAGCCCTGTAGCTCAGCGGTTACAGCACTCGCCTCGCAAGCGAAATGACTCCGGTTCGATTCCGGGGCGCGTTTATGACAAAAAATAAATAATTCTCTCTGTTTCCCCCCCTGCCACACCCACCCACCCAGCCACACAGTCTGATTGCCAACATCATCGCCGGCCCCCCCTCATTGGCGTTCCACTTGGGACGAGACATGGGGGCTTCGCGAGCAGCCTCGGAGCCAGCCACGGGGGCCCTGAGGTCCTTCTCCCCGTTACAGGGCAGCCAGAACTTCCCCTCCAGCTTCCACACCTCCATGCTGCGTGGCGAGGGCTCCACCCAGGCAGTGAGGAGCCGCATGGCTGGCTCAGGGTGAGTGGATCTGTCCCCGGCCTCAGGGCCTGTTGTTGTTGTTGTTGTTGTTAACTCTCTGTGGTTGTTACGTGTCCTGTGTCTTTCTTGGTTTTATAGTTTTATCATTTAATCCTCAACGCCATCTTCCGCTCAGCGAGCTCCAGCCTCCTCCGTGCCCCCACCCCCGCTCTGTCCTGCCCCGCCATTGGCGGTCAGGCCTTCAGCCTCTCTGCCCTTTCCCTCTGAAACTGCACCTCACAGTCCCTTCGCCTCGCCCCCTCCCTCGCCTCCATTCAAAACCTGTCTCAAGACCCTCCTCTTCGACCGCGCCTTCGGTCATCCTCCTACCCCTCACCCTCCTGATCCCGACCCCCAGCTCGGGTCAACATTCCTGTCTGTCCAGCGTCTTGGGACGTCCTTGGGTGATTTACTGTTTGTTGGGTATGTGTTTTGAGTCTCTCTCTCTCTCTCTGTGTCTGTAGCACTGACGCCAGGACAGTCAGCTCAGGCAGCAGCGTGTGGGAAGGTCAGCTCCAGAGCCTGATCCTGTCTGAATACGCCTCCACCGAAATGAGTCTGCACGCGCTCTACATGCACGAGGTAAGGCCTCTCTCGCTCCCTCCCTCCCCACTCCTCATCTTACTCCCCACCACCTAGTCTCCCCCCCCCGCGTCATCTCTCCCCCCGCCCCCACTCGCCTCGTCTCCTCACCCCACCCCCGGCCTCGGTCTCCTCCCATCCCACCCAGCCTGTATTGGAGCGTCAGCTTAGACAATGTGATTCCAATTCCCAAATTGGGGCTTGAACCCACAACCTTCTGACTCTGGCCTCCTGCTTGTCCCTCGAGCCCCCCTCTCTCCGCCATTGGTGTCCGCGCTTTCAGCCGCTACGCCCTGTAAACTCTCCCGCAATCCCTCCCTCGCCTCCCCTCCTTCCCCACTTTTAGTTACCAACTGAAATCCTTCCTCTTCGACCCTGTTTCCGGGTCACCGCCCTCCCCCCGGCTCGGCTTCAGGCTCCGCTACTGTCGGGCGCTCCGAGCGAGACCTGCCCCTTGCGAGGGCCGCTGTGTAAATGCTGCTGCTGTTGATGCTGCTGCTGTTGTTGTTGTTGTGTCCCCAGCACCACAAGCAGCAAACGCGAGCCGAGCCATCCCGGCACATGTGGCACCGGCAGGACAGCGACGACAGCGGGGAGAGCGCCCACGAGGAGCCGGGCACGGTGCGCGTCTCGCCCGGCAATGTGCCCCGCTCAGCCAGCTACCCCACTATGTCCGGCACCGACTCGGCCACCGCCTGCCAGGAGGTCACCGTCACCTCGTCAGACACGCCGTGGAGATCAGCCGGTGAGAGGGAGCTTCAGTCACTCCATCATTCATTCAGTCACTACATCACAGCGTATCCCGTGAAGCGCTTTGAGACGTCTCAAGGGAATGATAAGGCGCTGTATCAAATGCAAGGATTATTATTAGTAGTGATAGTATTATTATTGTTGTTAGTATTATTGTCGTCATTATTATTATAAATTATTATTATTGTTGTTATAATAATTATTGTTATTATCTTTACTGTTATTATTATAACGCCTAATAATAATCCCTCCAAAAAAACAATAATAAATTGGGTCATTTTCAATCTACAACGCTTTGTGGGACATTGCTGTGCGCCATTGGCTGCCGCGTTCGCCCACAAATATACAGTCAATTCACTTTACAGTGTGTTCTGTGAAGCGCTTTGGGACGTCCTCTCGACGTGAAAAGCGCTATATCAAATGCAAGGATTATTATTATAATAATGATTATTGTTCGTTGACAGAGCTGTCGGGCTCGCAGCGTCCGGCTTCTCGTTACTCTCGGCTGCCGATGGGGGGCTGGACGGAGGATGGGGGGGTCCCACGGCACCCTGAGACTGTGCCCGAGGAGGGCTCCGAGGATGAGATGCCTCCACAGATCCATCAGGTACAGAGAGTGTGTCTACCCCGAGCGCCGTGCAGCGAGGGGTGGGGGGAGGGGAGAGCGACAGAGAATCCGTGATCAGCCTTCTTCATGTCAAGGGCTCAGTTGCTCTCACCTCAGGGTTGGGAGGTGATGGGGTTGAGCCCCATTCCCCCTCCTCCCGTGACTGCCGCTTGGAGCTCACAGTTCGGACTGAACCTCCAGTACGTCCTGGTGTGGGAGTGGGGGGGGGGGGAGGGGAGGTTGGGCCGCAATCCTCCATATGCAGCCCCCCCCCCACTGCCAACAACAACTTGCCCCTCACGCCATGTAATAACACAGTCCCAGTCAAGTGGAGGCGACGGGTGGTGGCGTTGGGAGTCAGCAGCTGGAAGAGATGGGATGCACACAGCCCCCCCCCCCCACCCCCCACACCATGTAGTAACACAGTCTCTCTCCCCCCCCCCCTGTAGGTGTAGCTGTGGTGTGAACACGCGCAGTGTGAGCTGGAGAGCACAAGTGGTGGAGCTGCTGATTTTCTACCTTTGATCGTGTTACAGTGTTAATGTGGCTGCATGTCACCCACCGCTGCTCAGCCCTGTCGAGACCCCCACCCCCCGCTTCCCCTTACCCCCCCCCCCCCGCTTCCCCGAACAAACCCGACCCGTTGCCAACACCCTGGGTCTCGTTTCGTGACCGAGGCTTTATTTTGCATCTGTTTTCCCGGAATGTTCTAACCAGAGTTTATGATTGTCATTTTTTTATTTTCAAAAAACGGACAGACAAAAGTGTGGTGTTAGAGGGGGGGGAGGTAGGGAGGGGGGGGGAGAGGTGGGAGGGAGCAAGGGAGGGAGAAAGGTGGGGGAGAGGGAGGTGGGGAGGGAAGAAGGAGGTGGGGGAGAGAGGAGGAGGGAGTTGGGGAAGAGGGAGGTGGGGGAAAGGGAGGGGGAGAGGAGAGAGGGAGGGTGGGTGGAGGCTGTGTTGGGAAAATGTCTGTTTTCTGCTCTCGATGCCCCAAAGGTGGGAGGGAGGGAAAGGGTGAGGTGTGTGGGTGGGGTGGGGGGAATGTTGTTTAATTAACAGTTCATATGTGTGTGGAGGGGGGGGACTAGGGCGTGGGAATAGAATGTGGGGGGGTTTGGGGGGAGAACGCATGTTATCAGGGATCCAATTTTGATTTTCAAGGAGTTTTAGCACATCAAAGGGAGTTTTAAAAGGGAAAAAAAAAGCTTTGTCGGTGGGGGGTGAGGAGAACGGGGGGAGCCGTTTGATCACTCGCTCCTCTCTCTCAATCTCTCGGGCTCGTCCCCATCGAAATCGAATTCTGTCGCTATGTCAGCTCAGCCTCCCAGCCGGTCCCTCGCTCCCCGGTCACAGCTGTGCAGCAAAACAGCCCACACGTTTACACGTTTACACGAGGGATTGGGGGGGGGGGGGGGGGGGCAGGGGAGAGCTGGAGGTCCCGCACTCTCCCAGTCTATAAATGCTGCCGTTTTGTCCTCCGCTTTGCTTTGCATGTGTGTCACTGTTGAGAATGCCTGCCCTGCCCAGCCCAGCCCAGCCCAGCCCTGCCCTGCCCAGCCCAGCCCAGCCCAGCCCAGCCCTACCCTGCCCTGCCCTGCCCAGCCCTGCCCTGCCCTGCCCTGCCCAGCCCTGCCCTGCCCAGCCCAGCCCTACCCTGCCCTGCCCAGCCCTTCCAGCCCTGCCATGCCCAGCCCAGCCCAGCCCTTCCCAGCCCTGCCCTGCCCTGCCCTGCCCAGCCCAGCCCTGCCCTGCCCTGCCCAGCGCAGCCCTTCCCAGCCAGCCCTGCCCTGCCCTGCCCAGCCCAGCCCTGCCCAGCCCAGCCCAGCCTGCCCAGCCCTACCATACCCTGCCCTGCCCTGCCCAGCCCAGCCCTGCCCAGCCCTACCCTGCCCTGCCCAGCCCTGCCCTGCCCAGCCCTGCCCAGCCCAGCCCAGCCCAGCCCTGCCCTGCCCAGCCCAGCCCTGCCCTGCCCAGCCCTGCCGCAGTGCGCTACAGTCAGCTGTTGCCGTTTGTCCGTTATTTTCCAGGGAAAATCTTTTTCCCAGCTCTCATGGTGCTTTGAAACCCATTCTTCAGACGAGACACTAAACCGAAGTCTCCCTCCCCTCCCTCCCTCCCCTCCCTCCCTGTCTGTGTCTGTGATTGTTTGTTCAGGCGGACGTTAAAAGATCCTGCGGCAAACACTTTTGTATAAAGTGAAGAGAGTGAGCTACTCTCTCCCAGTGTCCTGGCCGACAATCCCCTCCGCCACCTTCTCCACTCCCACCCTCACTCCTGCCCCTCGGGGCTGCTTGTGGGACGTTGCTGTGCGAGTGGGCGTGAAACAGCTGCCGCATTTGCCTGCAAAATGCACAGTCACCACACTGCACGACAGTCCGTGCGGAGCGTGCTTGTCGAGACGTTTAAGGGAGCGACTTGGGGAGGCGGGGGGAATCTGGCGGGATAGTTATCCCTGTGGGGGAAAGCGATTGATGGGGGGGGGGGAGGAGGCGGGGGAAATGTCTGTCTGAACCCCCTTTTGTAAGTGTTCTCTGAGCTGTAGCCAGGAGAGGGCAGTCACCGGCTGCCTCCTGATTAAAAGGTGCGAGATGTTTTTTTAAAAGATTTTTTTTATTTATTCAGAGGTGTGTTTTTTTTTAAAAAAAAAAGCTTGTGTGTGTGTGACGTGCAGATTAGGGGTTAGCTCAGGAGGCCGGGGGGTGGTGCAGAGCACCTCTGACTCTCTCTCCGGTTGGCTGTTGGAGGGACATCACTGCGTAAAACAGTCTGCTGTGTCTCACCTACAATTATACACTTTGTAGTAAATCCTCCTGAGGTGAAGTGAGGTGTTTTCAGACGTAATCCCTCCCAAACAAAACCAAAATTAACGCAGTAAGTAGGAACCCCCGGCCGATTGGCTGATCACTTTCCAGGGGGTAATAATCCCTTCAAATTTAAAAAAATAATAATAATAATTTGGTCACTCAACCCACGACTGCTTGTGGGGACTCTGCTGTGCGCAATTGGCTGCCGCGTTTCTCCCACAAAACACACAGTCACTCCACTTGACAGCATATCTTGAGAAGCGTCTTTGAGACGTCTCAACGACCCGATAAAGTGCTCTATCAAATGCAAGGAATATTATGATGATGATTATCGTTCATGCATGGAAAGTGCTGGATTAAATGCGAGGGTGGTTGTTGTTGTTGTTGGGAGCTGCAAAGTGTCCAGGTTCTGAAAAAGTGGAACGAGAGAGGGAGCGCGAGCGAGAAAGACTGAGCGAGAGAGAGGTTTGGTGGGAGGAGATTGATCACTGAAATGGCGGAGTGAGATGGGAGGCGAGTTCCCACCCCGTGGGTTTTGTAGTTTAGTTTGTGAATTGTTTCCTCACACGGGGCAGGGAATGTGTCACATTTCTGCCTCGGGTCCAGTCAGCAGGTTGTGGGTTCAAGCCTCCCCCACCTCCCCCCCCAAAGAGAGCTCACAGTCCAGGCTGACACTCCAGCATTTACACCGCTTACATCTTACCCTCTCCGCCACCCATCCCTCTGAGAGGTATAGGGGGAGTGAGCAAACCTGGTGTAAGCTGGAGTGACTGAGGGGAGAGCACATGTACTGTACACTGGGAATAATCTCTCATCTCCTGTGGTCACTCTGAATGGTCCCGTGGTTTTATCCTGTGTTGAGTCTGTGATTATCTGTGTCCTGTGTGTGTGTGAATGGGGGGGGGGGGGGGCGGGGGGTGGAGTTGGTTGCGGGGAATGAAGGGCTGGGAATTTGCATCAATATTCTCCCTGGTGTTTTGTATGGAATCTCTATATTGCACAATTTGTACAGTTGTATAGTCATTGATAATAAAATAATGTATCAGTCTCTCTGCTCCCTGGTGTTTTATTCCCCTCCAGGTCCATCCCTTGTCCCTCCATTACAACAACGACAACAACAAGATTCCATTTATAGAGCGCCTTTCACGTCGGGAGGACGTCCCAAAGCGCTGTACAGTTGGGTCAGGACCCGAGCATTGGGGGGAAATGGTCAGGGTGAGGGGAGGGGAGCGAGGAGGGGGTCGAGAGTCGAGAGGGGAGCTGAAGGCACGGTCAAAGAGAAAGGTCTTGAAGGAGGAAAGGGAGGAGGCGGCGAAGGCACTGTGGGATGGAGTTCCAGAGCCTCGGGGCTGAGAGGCTGAAGGCCACTGATGGTCGGGCGGTTGGGGCGGGGGATGTGGAGCAGATCAGAGCCAGAGGAACGGAGGGTACGGGCAGGTAGGTAGGGGGATAGTAGGTCAGAGAGGTAGGAGGGAGCGAGGCCGTGAATGGCCTTGTGAGGATGAGGATCTTGAATTCGATCCTCTGGGGGATGGGGAGCCAGTGGAGGTGAGCGAGGGCGAGGGTGGGAGTGAGGGCGAGGGTGGGAGTGATGTGGTCTCGGTGTCTGGTGCGGGACAGTACACGAGCTGCAGAGTTCTGAATGACCTGCAGTGTGGAGGGAGGTGGCGGGAAGGCCGACGAGGAGAGAGTTCCCATAGTCCGGCCTTGAGGTGACAAAGGTGTGGACCAGAGTTTCAGCCGCGTGAGGGGTGAGGTAGTACCGTAGTCTGGCGATGTTCCGGAGGTGATGGAAGGCGGTGCCAGTTGTGGTGCGGATATGAGGGAGAAAGGACAGCTCAGGGTCGAACAGAACGAGGTTCCTGACCGGCTTTGAGAGATGGAGAGTGCATTAGTCAATCACTTGCCATCCTGTGCCTCTGGAATTGGGTAAGCAGTGTGCATCCCTCTGGGGTGGGGTGGAGGGGGGGGGTGGAGTGCACATTCTATCCCAGATATGGTGGGGACATGTCCATGTGTTTGGAGACTTCACTCCTGTGGCTCAGTGATTAGAGCACTCACCTCGCAAGCGAGAGGACCCGGGATCAATTCCCTTAGGCACGTTTCCTTACTCCACGTACCTTTGTTCACCCGGCAGTAAATAGGAACCCATTTGTTAGTCGATTGGCAGATCGCTTTCCCGGGGGTAATAATCCCTCCAAAACAAATACATTCGGTTACTCAATACACAACCGTTTGTGGGACATTGCTGTGTGCAATTGGCTGCCGCGTTTCGCCCACGAAATACACAGTCACTACACTTAACGATATTTCCTGTGAAGCGCTTTGAGACATCCAAAGCGATAAAGTGATAAAGCGCTTTATCAAATAAGAATTATTATTATTAGTGAACGTGGTGGTAGGGTTCTGTGGTTGGTGTGTGCAGATACCACTGGTGACCAGACGAGGGAGGACTTGCCTCAGAATTGGAGACCAACTCTCAAGGAGACTCTGCTCTCTCCTCAAACACCCGGTGGGAGAGAGAGGAGGTGACTATAGCCGTGGGTGAAGAGGTAGGTTTAATGTCTGGTAGAAGCAGCGTGACGTCTGAATGTTGACCGAAAGCCAGATGGTTTTAGGAGGTTCATGAAGGCAAATTGGGGTTCAGTCGCTCGCAATCTCGTCTGCAGGGTCAGGAGGTTGTGGGTTCAAGCCCCCCCTCCACGTCGGGGCCTCTGAGCTGACAGTCCAGACTGATGCTCCAGGGCAGAGCTGGGGGGAGAGATAGAGCGCCCACATTG